ACCCAAGCCACCTCCCATCTGCCATGCATGCTGCTTATCGGGTAACCAGAGCCGGCAACTGCGTGCACACCTGAAACAGGAAGCCCAACTGGGCCTGGGCACGGGCTGCTGCTGTCACCAGGAGCTGTGCTGGAGGATGGAGGAGCAGCAGGTGCTGGTGGCCGCTAAAGGTGGGGATGTGGCCACCTTAGAACGGCTGCTGGAATCTGGCACACTGGGCCCGGGCATCACTGACACCCTGGGGGCAGGGCCGGTGCACCATGCTGCCCGCGCCGGACACCTGGACTGTGTCCGGTTCCTGGTGCAACAGGCCAAGCTGCCCGGCAACCAGCGGGCCCGGAATGGAGCCACCCCAGCCCATGATGCCGCAGCCACTGGCCACCTGGCTGAACTGCGCTGGCTGGTCCGTGATGGGGGCTGCAGGTTGCAGGTGAGCAGGTGCCAGCAGGCAGCAAGGGACCCATGCCGCAGTGGGGCCGGGGTGCAGCCAGGGCCCTACTCTTGGCCAGTGCTCCCTGCCTGAGCCCTCATTCCCAGAAAACCACGGAGCCACCAAGACTCTGCTGGGCCTGGTCCCTGGGCCTCTTCCCAGAGGCCCAGAGAGTGGGGCAGTGGAGGGTGGCTCGGAAGCGGGGCCCTGGTGCTGGGGGCAGTGGGAGCCCCCCCACCATGAGGGGGGCTGTTCCAGGCACCTCTGGCCATGCACAATCAGCCTGGGATCAGGACCTGGGCTGGGCAGGACACCAGGAGGAGGCTCCAGACCCGGCCCATGCCCTTCCCTGCCTCTGCTTCCTGCCCAGCAGGGGTGCAGTGCCCAGGGAAGGCGCTGCTGGCTCTGGGCTCATGGGTGCTGCTCAGCAGGGTGGCCGGGCCTTGCCAGCTCACAGCACATCTGTGTCGGTAGGACCAGGATGCCTCGGGCATCTCCCCGCTGCACCTGGCAGCCCGCTTCGGACACCCGGCACTGGTGGAGTGGCTGCTACAAGAGGGTCACTCAGCCACGCTGGAGACGCTGGAGGGCGCCCTGCCGCTGCACCATGCCACCATCAGTGGCGACCTTACCTGCCTGAAGCTCCTGGCGGCTGCCCACCACAGGTGAACGCCCCGGGGCTGCTGGCAGGATGCGCTGGCCACGTGCGTGGGCAGTGGGGACACCCTGGGCAAGGCCCAGCAGGAAGCAGCTTGGGGCAGAGGTTGTATGGCTGTGGGCAGGGCAGGGAGTCCTGGGTGCAGCCTGATGACCCCCGACAGCCTCCTGTCCCTGTGCTGCCTCCCAGCCTGTGCTGGTGCCAGTGGGTGCTGAGAAGGGAGTCAGCAGCCAGAGGCTGGGGCAGGGCCTTTCCTGTTCACTCCGCTCTGGTCCCTGCCCTGCCTAAGGTTACTATTGTCACAGTAATGGGCCCAGAGGCCCCTGCTTCCTCCCAGGAGCTGCCTGCCTCTGACCTCTCCTGCTCCCTTGTGGGGCATCCTATCTGGTCACCTTGGCTACCCACGCTGGCCCCAGGATGCTTCCTTGCTACCCAGTTTTCCTGACTGCCCAGCAGGGGTCCCTGGATGTGGCCCCACCTGGCCTGGCCAGCATCCTCCCACCTGCACAGCCTCTGAGCCTTCCTGCTGCCGCCACTGGGACAGACTGCGTGTCCACACAGATGCACACGTCCATGTGTGAAAACACATGTGAGGCACACACACGTGCACACAGTGGAGGTCCCAGGCCCCGTGCCACAGGTCCACAGCCACTGTGCTGTCCTTGCAGTTGGGTCCCTGAGGAGGGCAGCGGGGCTCATAGGGGTCACCTGGAGGCCACCTCAGCTCTGGAGAAAGGGAGTAGCCCTGTGCCGGGGGACAGCTGCATGGTGGGGCCTGTGTCCACCTGGCATGGGGAATAGGTCTGCAGTCTTCTGCTCTGGGCCTGTTCCCCTCTTGCCAGCTGAAGGCTGGGCCACGCTGGGTTGCTTGTGCTCCTGGTCACACATGGCCATGGGCCTCAGTGAGTTTGGGGCGCATCACTCTTTCCCAGTGTCCCCGTTGAGAGGTCACTGAGACACCTCGGCCAGAGGCCCATGGGGCCAGAGCTGCTTGGGAGACAGGACAGAGAGCCGCAGGCCGGTGCCCTAGGGCAGTCATGGTCCCTGTGTCTCCATGGGCCGGGCCCAGATTGTGCAGCCTGCACCTTCTGAAATGACTGATGCCTGGGACTGGCCGGGAGGCAGGAGGGGGACAGGCACAGGCAGCCCCTTTGCCCAGAGCCCTGGACTGCAGTTGGTGGAGGAACGCAGGCAGTGAGGGCAGGACTGGGGCTATGGTCTGTGGCAGCAGAGGCTAGGGCAGCCTTGGGTGGGTGCTGAGGAATCCCTGGGCCTTCCCTGGAGGCAGCCCGATTTCAGAGGTCCCAGGACACTGTTGGCCTGTCTGTACCGCAGATGAATTCTGGGCCAGCCCTGATGCCCATGTGGCCTGGCTGGCTGGAAGCAGGTGGGGCTGTGCTCTGGGAGACACCCTTCCCCTCCCTTTTCTGGTACTTGGGCAGTGCGCAACCTCTGCACCTGTCTGGGTCCCTAGGGCGGGGAGGTGGACACAAGCAGGGCCAGGTAGCTCACCACCCCTGACCACGCCTCCATGTGTGCCTCCTTGCAGTGGCGTGAACCGGCAGACCCACAGCGGCGCCTCCCCACTCTACCTAGCCTGCCAGGAGGGCCACCTGCACCTGGCCCAGTTCCTGGTGAAGGACTGCAGTGCCGATGTGCACCTGCGCGCCCGGGATGGCATGAGTGCCCTGCACGCTGCCGCTGCCCGCGGCCACTACTCACTCGTGGTCTGGCTGGTAAGGGGCGGGCTGTGGAGGAGGGTGCCCGGACAGGGCCTGCAGGATGGCGGGGACAGCAGCCAGCAGAGGCAGGAGGACAGCGGGGCCGGTGGGGCGGCCGAGGTGAGGCCGTGGCCCACGCAGGGTGGGCAAGAGGCAGAGACCCCCAGGGGACCAAGGCTCTTCCCCATGGCACGAGGGAGCCATTAAGGTCACTGAGCCAGATCTGCCTGGCCTTCCAGAGACCCCAGTGACTGGGGAGGCTGAGGTGGGAAGATCACCATGGGTTCAAGGCCACCCTGGACCACACAGTGAGTTCAAGGCCAGCCTGAACTACATAGCCAAAAACAAAGTGAACAATCCACAAAAGGTCACTCTGGCTACTGGTAGAGGGGAACCATCCTGCTCAACCCTCACACACTCACCGTGGGGCTGCCTCTGCCCTGCCCCCACTCCTTGCAGCTGCAGCTCTTTTCCCCTGCCCCATCCCAGGGCCTGGTGTCCACATGGGCTCTGGCCCTTCATGAAGCACCGGGAGCTGCTGTGGGAGGAGAGAGCGCTGAGACTCGCGGGAGGGACAAGGACTCAGCCCTCATGACACCCGGCCTCCCCCCAGGTCACCTTCACAGACATCGGCCTGATGGCACGGGACAACGAGGGGGCCACAGCCCTGCACTTCGCAGCCCGTGGTGGCCACACTCCCATCCTGGACCGGCTGCTGCTGATGGGCGCCCTGGGGACCAGGGACTCCTGGGGGGGCACCCCGCTGCACGACGCAGCCGAGAATGGGCACTTGGAGGTATGCAGCATTCTCAGGGGGACCTCTCGGGACCTAGGGGAGAGGTGTCGTTTCCCTCGTACAGATGGGTAAACTGAGGCACAGCGGGGTCTGGGTCTCCCTGTGGGGCTTGGGCAGCGCCTTTCCAGGACCAAGCACCCCGAGGTCTCCAGGAAATGCCTGAGGGTTTGACCTAAGATCCCTTTCTGTCGTGGGCTCCATCCAGGACACAGGACCTGGAGTCTCGGTCTCCCCTTGGCTGTGACAGAGCACCCCCCTTATAAAAGCAAAACTTCAAAATAATGAGCGGGTGCCTGCGGCCCAGAAGGGTGCAAAGGCGGCTTCCACCACCCCAGGACTCCCGTGCAGGTCTTGGTGTCTGGGTGTCGTGAATCTCACCAGTTACCCGCTGGGAGTCGTTTATTATAATCAAAAAGCTCTGGACCTTGGCTGCCCAACCAGTCCTTCCTGTGCGGCTCCAGGCTGCTTCTCCTCGCCAAAGTGGCTCTGCCCCTGAAGCCTTGATCCCCGACCTGCTCCCCAGCCCGGCCGTCCCATGCCTCCCGTCCCTGGGACTCTGATGACCCTGGGCCCCTCTTCTAAGTGGAACCACACACGCAGCGTCTGTCCCTTTGCATCTGACTTGTTTCCCTGAGTGAACTGTCCTCAAGGTTTATCCACAGTAGGGCACCAAACCTCCCTTCTTTTCAAGGCCGCAAAATATCCCTCCGCGCTCTACTTTCCTCCTCACCTGCTTCTGTGATAGTGGGGATCTGGTGCCTCTCACCACCATTCTGGTGCACCTCAGACACGGGGCTCAGTGGTCTCTGCAGCCCGTCCTCCACCCTCTGGCTGCGTCGGGGAGGCATTGCTGGGCCTGGCTGACTGCTCCCCGGGAGAGCACCGACTTGCTCGCTTAAAGTCTGCGCACTAGGCTCTCGCGACGACGCCTTTACATATAGCTGAGTTTGATTGGCTAACGCTTGTTTAGGGTTTTGGCCTCTGGATTCAGGAGTAAATTTGACTTGTCCCATCCCTCGCTCATTCTGTCCCTGTTGGGCTTTGGTGTCAAGGTTGTGTGGTGAATTGGGGAGGCTTCCTTTTTTTCCCTAGTCTTTGGAAATTCTTGCTTCCATTAGACTTATTTCTTCTGTAAATGTTTGGTGGAATCCATTGGTACAGCTGATTAGACTTGATGTTTTCTTTGAGTTTTTTAATTACAAATTCATTCTGTTTAATTATAAAATCATAAGGGCTTTCGTGTGTGTGTGTGTGTGTGTGTGTGTGTGTGTGTTTTGGTTTCAGAAAATTATGTTTTCCTGGAAGCTTTCTGAGGCCCGGTCCTGTCTGAGTTGCTCAGTGTCTGTGCACCATGCGTTCCCAGTGTGGCATGTTCCATGCTGCCTGCTGGCTGGGGCTCCTTCCCAGCGTTGTTCCTCCTGCCTTATTCTTATTCGGCTCATCACTGCAGGGCTGGGCCGTGCCAGGTGGCGGCTGTTCCAGACCCTCTGGAGAGTTGCCCATTCTCCCTAATGTCTGTTTTCTACCACTCTGGTTTCTGCATTTATCCTCTACTTCTCGCCCAAGTTCTTTTCTGCAGTGTGGGGTTGGAAACCAGGGCTATGCATGCATGAGGCCGTTGCGAGGTGGATGGTTCCATGGCATTCAGGGTGAGTGGCTGCGGCACAGCCCTCTCCTCCTTATGGCCCCGAACATTCTCATCACCCCAAAGGGAAACCCTAGAGTCGTGAAGTGGGGCTAGCTGTGCCCCTTCCACAAACCCCGGCAAACTCTCTTCTCCTTCCTGTCTAGATGGACACAATGCTGACACTCATGTGAATGTGAATGGGACCATACGATCAGTGGCCTCTGTGCCTGGCTTTCAGCATGTTTCCTAGGTTCACTGTGCTGTGGCAGGAGTTGGAACCTCCTTCCTACCTCTGGGCGGTGCTCCTTCACTTGTGGAGCTGCCATCCTGTTCATCGCCCCTCTGTCGATGGACTTTGGCTGCTTTTACCTTTGGCCACTGAGATCAGAGCTGCCGCGGACATTCAGGGCCGGCTGTTGTCTGAACTTGGACAGACAGAGCTCAGTCCAGTTCTTGGGGAGTCTGGGTCACGTGGCCAGGTTGTGAGTAACCCCAGGCTGCTTTTGCCGACCACGGTGCCTTTCCCATTCCCCCCAGCAGCGTATGGGGTGTCCAGTTCCTCTCCCTCCTGCCGACACTTACCTCTGTCATCACAGCCACCCCAGAGCCCCAGCAAGCCCCTGTGGCCTTGATGTGGGGCTCTCTGTGAACAAATCAGGTGTTTGGACAGGCACCCACTCCAGAAAATGGACCTGGTCCTCTGGGGTGATGAGGAGCCGCCCCCTCTTCCTGTCTTGTATTTGGTAGCTTCCAAGAGACCTGCATCAGGTGGGCAGTGGGCAGGCCTGTTGCTGCAAGCTCAGGGTATGGTGATCTGAATCTGCACCTGCTCCCAGGGGTGCTGGATGCACAGTACAGGTGGGAGTACTGAGGCCCAGGTGGTCAGTACCAAGGCACAGGTGGGAGTACTGAGGCACAGGTGGTTGGTATGGAGGCACAGGCGGGAGAACTAAGTACCACCATTGTACTGAGAACCACAGCAGATGCAACCAGAAGAGGGTGGCTCCAGACTCAGGCTGGTGCAGTGCCAGCCCTGCCTGGGTCGACTTGGCCCCAGGAGAGGCCAGGGCTGGCTGTGCCCCCAGTGGCACCGGGACAGAGGACTTTCACACAGGATTGGGTTAGAGAGCTTGGGACAAGCAGCACGATGAGAGGATTCCTGAGACTGAAGCAGAGGGCGAGAGCGCCGTGTCCCGGGTCAGGGTGGTGAGGCCGGGCCCTGCAGGGCTGTGGGAGGCCTGGGCCTGAGGTGTGCTTGCATCTGGTGCGAGTGGGTTCCACACCATGTGGGGAGGGTGCTATGGAGCAGGGTGCTGCTATAGCACAGGCCCAGGGCTCACAGGGCCAGAGGCAGAGGGGACACAGGAGTTGGAGTAGCCCGCTGTGGCCTGCACTTAGGCCTGTCTGGTGCCCCCGCCCAAATCACTCAGGCAGGGACACACATCACACAGAGGCCTACCCCCGAAGTCTTAGTACCGAACCCCTGGCCTTCAGGGAAGACTCAGAGCCGTACCCGGCGCGGCTCAGCCATCCTGTGCAGGTTGGATGTCTGGGCTGTCTCAGGCTGCTACACTGTGGGGTGTGGTCCTGGCTCCTGGTGGGCCTGGAGCACGAGGGACCTGTTCTCCCAGGAGAGGCCCACCCCACACAGCCTCACACAGACACAGGAATCTGCTTGTCATCATCTGCGCCAAGGACCTGCTCCGGCCTGTGTACCATCTCAGCATGGGACCTGCGCTCAGACCCATGGTACACGGCCTCCCCTCCTGCAGGCTCCGAGCCCTGCCCCCGTGCATAGGCTTGTTTGCCCCTTTGAAGATGGTGTCCCCCACCATGAGGCTGAACCTTGAGCCGAGCCTTGCTCTGGGTTCCACCTGTCCGTCCATGGTGATCTGCACGGGGACAGCAGAGCGTGGGGTCGGCGCGCGGTGACCTCCTGACTGAGCAGGAGCCCGTGGAAAGCTTCCTGAGCTCGTTCAGTCACGAGCTTCTCGGTGTCGCACTCTGATGAAGGTGCAGTGTGCAGTCCTAGAAGAGACAGTCACTGTCACAGGTGGTCGTCCACTTCCTCTCTGCCGTGCTGTGGGTGGTGCCACAACCCGCACAGCCTAGGGTCCAAAGTCAGAGAGAACAGTGGGAGATGAAGCAAAGTGGAGAATAACAAGAAAGAAGGACACACACCAAGATTATGCTTGAAAGCTGGGACCAGATGGAGCCATGGCCTGATGAGCTAATGGCCGCCCAGGGTCCAGCGTGCTCTTTATTTATGGTGTAGGACAAACAGGACAGACTCTGTTGGCTGAACTCAGTGTGATTGTCTCGTGATCGGGGCATGCGCAGGAAGGGAACAAGGTAGAAGGACACATTATGTCACTGTCTCCTAGGCTGTGCCATCAGGGGTCTACAATCTAGTCTGTGGGGAGAAAGGGAGCAGGGAGGAGGCACAGGCCGTGTTCAGGCCCGGCCTGCAGCAGGCGGGGTTGCAGGCAGTGTGGGGGGTTTATACAGCCCTCAGTGCTGGATTATACATCCCACAGTGCTGCAGTATGCAGCCCGCAGTGCAGAGCCAGTGGTGGAGGGAGCAGGAGCCCGGGTCCACTTGTCTGCCTCCCTCTGCCTTTCTGAGCTGCTCCCCATTCAGCCATCAGACCTGGCTTCAAGGCAGAATTTTACTTATTTAAGACTTGCGTATACAGGTGGGCGCTATCCTCACAGGCGGTGTTGGAACAGGAAGGGAGGTGCTGGGGGAGTCTGGGCTGAGGACCCAGCCTGTGCACGGTGCCTCAGGGACCTGTGACTCCCTGCCCAGCTTGCGTGGAAGACGTGGTTCCTGAGCTATCAGCGTGGCGGCCCTGGCTTGTGACCTTGGGGCTCTCTCACTTGGCCTCCCTCACGCCCTGCTGTGGAGCTGGTGAAGCCCTGACCTTAGTGCCGAGGGCCAGCTGAGTCCATCCTGTCACTCACAGGCACTGGCCGGAGGGCTCCATGCCCCCAGTCCAGCTTCGTCACGAGCTCCAGGGTCTGGTGTCCACATGGGCTCTGGACCTTCATGAAGCACCGGGAGCTGCTGTGGGAGGAGAGAGCGCTGAGACTCGCGGATCTGTGCTGTGTCATTGGCCACCACGTCTAAGCCCCTCCGCCCCAGCTGCATCTCCCCTCTTTCTGCAATCTATGGGCCTTAGGTACTGGGAGACAGAAAAAAACCGGCTGGGCCCTCCCATCCCTCTGAGGGCTGTGGGGGGTGTGGCCCATGGCAGCTGTCACCTCTTCCCTGTGGCCTCCTCAGGGGCCCCACTGTCTTCCTGCCACCACCTGTGGCGCCTGCTGGACCCACATCTCTGATGACAGGTGTGCCGCTGCTCCACCACAGCCTCTCCAGAGGCTGCTGTTGTCTCAAGGGGAAACCAGCAATCTGCACCAGCAGGGCATGACAGGGAGGACCTGGGCTGTGGTTGATATCCCCGAAGCTTCTGAACCTCTAGGACCTGTGAGCAGCCTCAGTCATAACACGGCGCAGCTCCAGGAGGCACCTGCCTTAGCCACCGCGGGCTGGAGACTCGCCTGACCCACAGGACGCCGCCCGCCCATGTTGCTGTGAAAATCCTCCAAGCATCTGTGCACCGTGCATGCAACGCCTGCTGTTGCTCCAGCTAAGCGGGGCCTGGATGCTGTTTGGGTCAGCAGAGGACACCCCTCCCTTCTCCACCTCTGCAGCAGCCTAGCTGCTCTCCGAGCCTCGCTCCAGGGGTCCCGAAGATCCACTGGTGATTCTTGTCTGGGGGAGGGCGGGCAGAGACGGTCACAGTGGAGCTCGGAGAGCCTCGCTCCAGGGGTCCCGAAGATCCACTGGTGATTCTTGTCTGGGGGAGGGCGGGCAGAGACGGTCACAGTGGAAAGAGTTGGCAACACCAGGGCCTGGTAGCTACAGGGTTCTAGAGTCCACAGAGGAGCCCAGCAGCAGTCTGTGCAGATCACCCACTGGTGACGCTGATGGGCAGTGGCTGGCAGTGTGAGGCAGGGAACCCGGAAAGCTGCCAGAGAGGCTGACAGGTGTGGCAGTCATGCTCGGTCATCAGCTCCACTGGCTGGCTTGGGAACCACCCAGGGAATGGTGAGGTACACTTCCGGGGGTCATGGGGTTGCCTGGGGTCCAGGTCTGCCCGGCCCTTCCTCTCTGGTTCCCCTGCTCTGCTTCCTGGCCTTCCTATACTCACCCTTCGCTTCACTACACCCTCTAGTTGGTCCTGCCTTGGAGCACCGACCATGTACTGAAGCCCCGAGGGCCAAATTAAGCTGTGGGGGTCAGGTGTTGTGTCCCACTGAGGGAAGCCTGGCCAATACAGGGTGGCTAGGAGCTGTGGAGAGCTGTGACACTGGCACTCAGAGCCCACAGTCACTAACATTAAGGGACTTGTGCTCTGCTGATTCCTGGTGACCCTCTGAATTGAACACAAGAACCCTCAACGAAGGGCTGTGGATTTAGTTCAGTGGTTCTGTTGCCTGCCTCGCAAGCGCAAGGTCTGGAGTTCAATCCCTGGTACAAAATAATAATAATAATAAAGTTTGCAAACAAGAATCCTCAATGGATTGGTGACAGTTGGACCTTAGTATATTTCCTAGCTTTCTGTCACTGTGATCAAATGCCTGAGATAGTCAAAGCTTTCAAGGAGAAAAGGTTTACTTTCACTCACAGTTTCTGAGGTTTCCATCTATGTTTCTCGTCCCTGTGCTGTGGCCTCATGGGATATCATGGTGTTGTACATGGCAGCAAACCTCAATTTACTTCAGGTAGCTGGAAGAAAAACACAGTGGGAGAGTAGGATAGGGGGTCCCAGTAACCTCACTTCCTTATACTAGGTCCTACCTTCTAAAAGACTCCCATGTCCTAAGAGCACCACGATGGGGACACACCTTCCTTGCAGAGTCTTGGGGAATAGCTCCAAGCTAAGGCAGAATCTACTGGGTTTCTGTTTTCATCTTGTTGCTCTCAGTTGCTTCTTCTGATTGTTTTCCCTCTGTAATTGTTCAGCCTTAATTTTGTTAGTGTTTCATGTCCCAGACCTAACCAGTTGTCTTTTGGGTCATGTTATACAGTCTGTATGGTGCCCTCGGTGCACCCCATGCTGGTCCTGGCATCCCTTCAGCCCTGCGGCTGTGGTGAACACAGCCCTGTTCTCACACCTTCCCGCTTCACCTTTGGGTCTGAGAGACACCGGCCCTGCAGGGCTCCCCCGCGGCTGACTCTGAATGCCATTCACTTCTTGTCACCTCTTGGGTGTATCAGGAAGGTGTTTCTTTGCAGAGTCTGTTTTCTATGAATCCTGGAGTTGGCCAGACCCACTGCTTCTCTCTTTCCTGAAGTTGATCCACCTGCTCACCGCACAGATTTCCACACTGGCACCTCAGGCACACTCTTCACAAATGCTGGCAGCCACAGGATGTGTCATTCTGTGGTCAAGTTCTCCTCCTCCTCCTCCTCCTCCTCCTCCCTCCCCTTCCTCCTCCTCTCTCCTTCTTCCTCTTCTTTCTCCCTCCCTCCTCCTCCTCTTCCTCCACCTCCTCCTCTTCTTCCTCCTCTACCCTCTCTCTCCCTCCTCCACCCCCTACCTCCTGGGCTGATGTACCCAGTGCCCACCAGGGCCAGGCCTGACCCTGTCGCCTTCCTCCTTGCTGGTGCCCACCTTTGAGAGCAGCTGGAGAATGACCTGGTCCTCCCCAAAGCCTTGAAGGCCAGGTTGGGGCAGGTGCTGGCTTGGTCCCCACTGTGCCATGGAGAGCCCCTGCCTTGGGTTTCCTCTGGGAAGGGCTTGCTGGGCTTCCTCTGGGGGCTGTCGCTGTCAATGCAGGGCAGGGCAGCTCTGGGGCAGGGCTTGTGGCCCAGACAAAGACTGCCCCTATTGTCTGTGGCTGTGGGGTGGCAGCAGCAGCCAGGAGCTGCCTGCAGGGTCCCTAGGGGTCCAATGAGCCACCCAGTCACAGTGTCCCATTCCTCACAGTGCTGCCAGACCCTGCTCTCCCACCACGTGGACCCCTCCCTGCGGGACGAAGATGGGTACACGGCAGCGGACCTGGCAGAGTGCCACGGGCACCAGGACTGCGCCCAGTACCTGCGAGAGATGGCACAGCCGGTGAGGCCATGGGCCCCTGTCTGTCCTGTAGACCCGGGCATCGGGGGAGCTGGGCCAGGCTGTGACAGCAGTGCAGGGATGGGGCTGGCCAGCCGGACCCTTTGTGCGAGCCGGGCACCCTGCCTGCTGTGGGCTGCCTTGGCCAGTTCCTGCTGTCAACATCATGGCAGCTGAGGTGCCTAGGGTGGGAGCGAGGCTTGTCCAATCTGGGCTGCTCTGAGGAGACGCTGCCACAGCCTCAAGACATGGGCTCCCTTCCCTGCCCGGCCGTGGTCTTTCAGTTCCCCATCCCAGAGCCTGGACACCTTGCTGTCCCACTGGGTCGTAGGGGCTGCCCCCTCCCAGGCCGAGCCTGCCCGGCTCGTGTACCCTGATGCCCAGCTCTGCCCCTGCCTCACAGCAGCTGAGCTGAGGTGGCCAGGAGGGCAGCCACAGCGGGCTCCCCCACCCTGTAAGCATCTGCCCACCATACCCTGGAGCGCATGGCCTGGGCACTCTGCCCAGCCCCAGCCCAGCCTGGATCAGAACCTCCTGGACTCCCTGCACTTCTGGGGCAGGGGCAGGAGGTCTCAGGCTTCCTGGGGAGTTGTAGCATCTCCCCACCCTGCCCCAGTGCTTCTGTCCCCATCTGCACCCCCTGCCCACATCTAGGCACCCTCCGCTCCCGGAGGGGATGAAGCCCACCGTGCCCCTGTGTCTGCCCCTCAGCCTCCCGGCGGCACTGGGACGGGATGCTGGGCCCCATGCGATATTGATGGAAATGCAATACACGGAGGTGGCCGGCGCCGCTGTCCTCACGCCGCCCCGGGAGGTGATGAGAGCCCTCAGCCCAATGATGCATCCGCATTGCCCCGTCATGGGCCCAGGGTCTGGGGTCAGTGCTGCCACCCCACCCTAGTGGCATCTGGGGAAACTCGCACCCACTGCCCACCCGGAGCCTGCACAGGCCAGCCCTTGGGACTCTGCCTTGCCCTTCGCCCCAGACCTGGTGGCCCACCTGGGCCCAGGAGACAGGGGGAAGAGTTGTCAGATGGCAGAGATGCCCCTGTCCTGCTCAGCCACCCTCCTCCAGGTCCAGAGGGGAAACTGAAGCTGAGAAGCAGGGCCTTAGGGAATCTCAGCTGTGGCGTTGGTGCCGGGCGCCATGGCAGGTCATGATTTTCTCGGCCCGGATGGCATTACAGGTCTGTAACCCTGCTCTCCACTGCCACCCTCCATGCATAATGCATGGCAGGCTTGGCCCCGCTCAAATCTCACCAAAACACAGGGAAGAGGTGGCAGCCAGGGCCTGGATGGCAGTGAGATGCTGGGACTCAGGGAAATGCAGGCCTGGCCACTAGGACCCCAGAGGCCTGAACCCCGACGTCCACCCCCTCCCCTATCCCGTGGACCCCAGTGTCCAGGGCCTCAGGCAAGGCAGGGACATGTGACTCCTCCCACGGAGGTTCAGGGACATGGAGGGGCTACGTCCACGGTCCCCACCTTACAGCCAAGGCCCATAGGCTGAACAGGGACAGGGCTCATGGATGGGGTCCCGGTGCTTCCCGGTACTGGTGGCAGAGTTCAGGGAGCCAAGGGCGCCCACGGTCCCCAGCGTTGCTGACCCCCCTACCCGGCCAGGGCCACAGCCAGCCTCTGCCCTGGACCCTCCACAGGTGAGGTAGGGATCCCCATACAGATCCAGCAGGGAGAGATGTGAGGGCACCCGGGCACTGTGATTAGGGTCCATCATGGGCCCAGGAAACCCCTCTTCAGAGTGAGCGGTGGGAGGCTGGGCAGGGACAACCAGGGCTCAGCATTCAAGGTAGAACAGCAAAACCCTCTTCCCACACTGCCTCTGCCCCTGGATCAGGGAGCCCCACAGCTCCCAGGACAGCTCAGATCCCAGCTGTCCTGTGGGCTCCGGGAGCCTCAGTTTCCCTGTCTGTGGTTGGGGGCTCAGGGATCCCAGGTGTAATCTCCTGAGGATCCCCTGCTCCAGCTTTGCCCTGAGGAGGGTTAAGATTGCTGTAAGGGATCCTGCACCGGCCCAGCCCAGCCTGCCTGGCCACTTGACACCCAGCCTTCAAATATTTATGTAACTACTGTGGGGGCGGCAGCTTCAGCAGCTCCCGAGGCCCCATGGCCACCCAGTGCCTGTGAGAGGTCTGCCTGGGCTGGGGCGGAGCTTACAGCTTCTGAGGAGTGAGGTGCACAGGCCAGGAGGCCACGCTCCCTTCCTGAGGCCTGGTGGCTGAGGGTCCCAATGGCACGTGTTCACCTGTGACCCGGTAAGGCTCAGGGAGGCCCAGGTTGGCCCAGCAGCCCTGGCCACGCACATATGGGGCCCAGGCAGATTTCTGCTGGGGATTTAGCTCAGTGGTTCCGCTGCATGTCTCACAAGCGGAAGGTCCCAAGTTCAAACCCCAGTACCAAAAAAAAAGGGGAGATTTTGATGAGCTCAGTACTCAGCTGAGTTGGGGCCCCCAGGGAGAGGTGTAGGGGTCACAGAGATGACGGGGCCCAGAGCGCTCGGGGCCAGGCCCCCAGTGCCCTCACGCTGTGTGCCCTGTCCCCAGGTGCCCATCCTGATGACGCCCCCGCCTCCGCCCTTCCCACCCCCACTGCTGTCGGCTGCAAAGCTCTCCCTGCAGGATGGAGCAAGAGGGGCCCCCGGGCGCAGCAGCCCCACGCGTGAGTACATAGCCCGGCCAGTGGGCCCCTGGGTTCCCCTGCCCTGCTGCCACCTTTGGGTTTCTTGCAGGGTCTCTGCAGGGGAGGCGTGGTCACGGGAAGGTGGACCCAGGTGACCTCAGGGCTGGCGGGGAGGGCTTCTCCTGGTGGAGGACTGTGCCCCACACTTAGCAAGGCGAACGGGAGTCTCAGGAACATAGCAGAGGCTGCCTGGGTCCGCAGGACACCCCACTGTCATGCGGTCACGAGTGGGAGTGCACTCGTCTACGTCTGTGTGTGAGTCTGTGCGTGCTGTGTGTTTGTGTCTCTGCATGTGAGTCTGTGTCTAAATGTGTGCATTTGTTGTTGTTTGTTTGGTACTGGGGATAGAACTCAGGTCCTTGCACTTTCAGAGCAGGTGGCGGCACCACTGAGCTAAATCCCTGGTCCTGAGTGTGTGCATTTGTGTGTGTGTGCATGTGTCTGCCAGGCTGGGGGCCCCCGTGTCTCTTACACGGCTGCAGCTCTCAGGCCACAGAGGAGCTCTGGCCCAGTGTGGACCAGGCATGGGATGCAGGCCGCCGGCCCTGGAGCATCTGGGCACCAGGTGGAGCGCTGCTCCCGGCCCAGCTCTGGGGTGCCCAGCTGTCCTTGCTGCTCCCTGGGCCCTGCCCCAGACCATCTCCACTCCTCTTCTCAGCAGCTGCGATGGTCAGCCCCACCTGGCCCTGCAAGCCCACCCTGAGGGAGCCCATGACCTGCACCCCTTCCCCAGGCAGCACCCCAGCCACCTCCACGGTGAGTCCCCAGCCAGGCCCCGCCAGGCTCACTAAGCAGGCTGCAGTGGCTCTGGGTAACCTGGTTCTGAGGACTGGGAACTTGAGGCAGCAGCAGCAGAGAACGTGGGGACCCTCTCCTGACTCCCAGAGTTCCAGCAGTCAGGCCTGCAAGACCTCAGGACTTAGGTGTCCGCCCCCTTGGAAGCCCCTTTCTGCAGAGAAGCAGCAGTTGCCTCTGAAGGTGTGGGCTAGCAGCTACTCCTCCTCCGGCTGCTCTTTCCCCTCCCTCTTTGCTCAGCGGGGCCCTGAGTGGGTCCTGGGTGGGCTGGGAAATCCCTCCTGTGCAGGTCCCTAGAGGGTTAAAGGCTCTGACAAGTCCTGCAGTGCAGAACAGCGGCTAGACTTTGTCCATGTTGTGATCCCAGTGGCATGCACTCGGCACCCTCTGCTGGACCACGTGCAGAGGGCAGGAATCTCTGGTTGTTTCTCTGAGCAGTGACGCACAGCTGGGCCCCACCTGGGTTGCCCTGGACTGTGTGTGGTCCCATGCTCAGGCCTCGGTCTCGTCTGCACAGGGACCAGAGATGGCTCCGGGGGACACCCCTGATGGCCTGGCTACACTGTGGCTGGATGGGCTGCCCTCAGGGGACCTGGACGGGCTGGTGCCCACACGGGACGAGCAGGGCCGGCCCATCCCCGAGTGGAAGCGGCAGGTGATGGTGCGGCAGCTGCAGGCGCGGCTGGGCGCTGAGGACAACACTGCAGAGGCCCAGGTGCGGGTGGGCAGGGGGGTAGGGGCAGCACCCAGCCCACCCACAGGAACCTGGCCTGTCCCACCCGCCCCGTCCACAGCTTCCCTGGGAGCGGAGGCCCCAGCTACTCCGATCTTTGACAGCTGGTGTGCAGCAGCCAGCACTGTGTCCTTGGCCTGGACTATGCTGTCCCTGCCACGAGCCATCCACTCGCAGCCGGCACAGAGCAGCACAGGGGAAGCTCAGCCACGAGTCCTGGCCAGCACGGGGCTTCTGCAGGCTCTGAACCTCGGCGGGGCAGGCCTGCCTGTCCCAGCTCAGGGTTATGTGCTGGCCTGGCCAGGCAGAAAGCCCATAGCCCGGTTCGGACCTGGGGGTGGACACTGCCCAGGACACGGGGGCATGGGGCAGGTGGGGGGTGGGAGGTGGCTGAGGACTGGGAGGGCTCTGGGGGACTCCGGGGGCTGGGCCAAGAGGTGGACAGGGGTCGGGCGGGCAGCTAACCCCAATTTTCCCCCGGGAGGACTGTGCCCTGCCAGCCGCCTGGCTTGCCTTTCTTTCTGGGTTTTTTTTTGTTTTTTGTTTTTCTTTTCTTTTTTCTTTTGCAGAACTAGGCAGTGAGCTAGGGCTGCATCTCTAGCCTGTTTTCATTGTTTTGGGACAGAGTCTCACTGAGTCACTGATTTGGCCAGGCAGGGCTCCAACTTGTAATTCTCCTGCCTCAGCCTTCCAGGTGCTGTGTCTTGTGCTAAGGCCAGACAAGGGCCTACCGGTGCGTCCAGAGGCCGGGCAAGGGTCCCAGGGTCCTCGAGCCCAGCCACCGCAGGGAGCAATGCACAGTGTGGATCAGCCCTGCTGAGCAGCCCTTTCTGTGTCCAGGTCTGTGGTGGCGGGAGTGCGGGCCCTGCCGAGCCGGCCTCCTGGCGGTACTCACGGGCACACCAGGCTATCCTGGGCCCCTTTGGGGAGCTGCTGACGGAGGATGACTTGCTGTACCTGGAGAAGCAGATCGCAGACCTGCAGCTGCGTCGCCGCTGCCAGGAGTACGAGAGCCAGCTGGGCCAGCTGGCAGCTGAGCTGCAGGCCCTGCTGCCCGAGCCCCTGGTCAGCATCACCATCAACAGCCACTTCCTGCCCGAGGCGCCCGGGCTGGAGGATGATGGGGGCCCTGCGCTGGCAGCCGAGCCAAAGGACCCTGTGGGACCCAGGAGCACCGGGCCAGGCGGGCAGCCCCTGCCCTTCTGGTGTGGCCACATCGGGCGCCTGGTGCGCAGCCTGTCGCTGCTGCTGAAGGGCGTGAATGGGCTGGCAGAGGCTGAGGAGCCTGCGGCTGTCCAGGCTCTACAGGATGCCAGCAGCGAGACCCTGGCCAGCCCGGCCCACAGCGAGGCCCAGCGCGAGATCCAGGGCTGGGGAGTGTCCGTGCGGACACTGCGGGGCAACTTC